CAGCCACAAACTTTCAATTTAAGTGCCATACTCAAAATGTCACATTAGATTTACATTTGCTGCAAATAATTGGCTATGAATGGAAATTGTTAATTTTGCTGAAATAATTACTTATTTCTTTTATAAATTACGTATTTCTTTTGTAAATTACTTATTTCTTTTATATTTCTTTTATAAAAAATGTTACTAATTAATCAGAGCATTGAAGCACGTGCTTAGCTTCAACCTTAACCAAGGGCATAAATACAGTGGGGCCAGCAAGTCATAAGTGCTCCTTTTTGTTTTAACTGGAAGCCAAAATACTAATTCTTAGGGCTTTTCGTCCATGGCAGTAAAAATGCTACAGATTTGGTCAGTTGAATGTTAGGACACAATTGATGCTAGTATTTGTGGATCTTTGTCCTTTTAAATGACAGTATCTGGTGACAACGACACTCTGTATTCTGACTTCTTTCCCTGGCCTGTGTCCGAAGAAGAAACCCCAACTCCACCGGACCCAGGGGCTCCTAAGCAGAAGCTCTTGGAGAGGGTCACAGGTTTTGCTCTACGTAACCTCCAACCTTTTTTTTTAGAAGTGACAAATGTCACAGGAATGTCCTGTAGAAGTTATAATTTAATAACATGCATTTCTAAATTTCTCCATTTAACGACCTCTTACCCAATGTGCCAGGGCTTTCAGTTTTGGGGAGCAAAGATGGTGGAGAAGAAGAGGCCCAAAGCCAGAAACCATTAAATTATGAAGAAACCGAAACAGAGTTGTTAAAAAATACTATAGAACTAATTTAAATGGAGGGAGTTTGGCAATGATTTTCTTGAAAAAAATTTTTTTTTGGCCAAGAGGCCAATTGTTGGCAGAAAACAATTCCTCTCATTTTGACCAGCCTGATATGAGCAAATGATTTCTTTTTATATCAGTGTGCCTTTTATCTTTGTGATCCTACAGCTCTCTCCACCTACTGTAAGGCGCTGCAAATTGGCTTGTGGGAAGCTGTAACGATTGATGTTGGCTGAACATTTGGCTGAGATGTCAATTCGTAAAGAACTGTCAGTCACAGGAAATAAAAGCAGCTGTATATGTGCTCTTACAGCGGTTTAGTCTGTGGTCCCAGGAAAGTTTAAGATATATTCCTATATCCTCGAGTGATAACCAGCAAAGCAGCATGGTGATATTTTCCCACAGTACCTTCACACATGCACATTTGACAACTAACTCCTAGTTGTGCTATCCCTTTCTACCCAAACTTTGATGTATGAGTAATGATGAATTAAGCTCTTCATCTTTATCAAGGGCTTTGATATGCAAGAGAAGTAAGTAATACTAATAAGTTTCCAAAATCATAAGCATTCTAGGTAGCGACGGTCAACCAGAAACAAGCAGAAACCTCAGAAACACCCAGAAATGCTGGAAGACATCACTCCTTAGAGTAGACCAAAGGAGCTTGAGCTTGCCTTGTATCTGTGTGTCTAAACTGTATGTCTGTTGTGCTCTGGGGTCTTCTGGAGTCCTCCAGAGTCCTCCTTCACTGTACAGACTGGAAAGCACAACATCTCCCTCATTGCCTGGGTGGGTTTCCTGGTGCTTGCTCAGGTCATCATCCAGTCTGAGGTCTGGTCGTTGTCACCGCTCACATCCCAGCCCAGGAATGGGGGTGGGCACCTGGACCCCACCCCAGCCTTCAAGGTGTCTTAGAAAGCTCCTGAACGTGTGCTGGAATCCAAGCAAACACACACGCTCCATGGGCAGTTCTCCATCCTCAGTGCATGAGTTTCCTCCACAGTTCTCTTAACTTCCAGGAGGATTGGGAACGGGGAAGGATTTTGTGACATTCCAGCATTCAGCACATTGCCCTTTTTCAGAAAGCACATGCTGGTGTGGGTCAGCCCTGAATTCTCAGGGCCATTGAAGGATCCCTTTTGCAAGTTTTATTAGCATTTATAACCATGTCATGTTTCAATACAATTTTTTTAAGACCTGATTCCACACCCTTTTAACTTAATGAGAGATTTCCCATTGATAGTAACAGCAACAAGACCAAACCTTAAGGGAATATTAACCAGCCAAAAGAAAAATTCAATCTGGGCAATGTGAGCTCATAAAGAAGTTCTCAGCCCATGTGTTCATCCATATTACAGAACTTTGAGCAGAACTGTTGGGCAACTTTCATTTCCAGCTTTGTAACCCAGGCTGTGTGGTGTACTTCAAGGAGAAGACTAATTATGAAAAAAAAAAAAAGGAATAAAAGTAAGGATTTAAAAATTAAATTTAAAAAAAATAAAGTACAGAGAACAATACTTATAAAGTCTGAATAGACAGTAATTCCCTTTCAGATGGAGAAAAAACTTTATCCTAGGAGTGCAACCTTCAGTCCGCACAGGAGCCTTTACAGAGAGACACAGAGTAACCCAGGAATAGTAACAGGAGAGACACATACAAGAAACCAGTGAAGAGATGTAAGAGACCCTTTTTTAGTTCATTTAAACTAAAAAGCTCAAAACAGAAAATCATTAAAATTTGGTTATAAAAAACTACTTCAAATAGATCAGTAATACCCAGACTCTGAAGTTTTCCGCCATCTTCCACCCATGCAGAGATTCCCCTTATTTAAGTTCAAGCTTTATTTTCTAAGTTGTCCTAATCTATTTTATTTTTTTTTTAATTTTCAAAAGTAGTCTGTGATTAGCATCGACAACAGCAGGGTAAAACCTCAGGTTGTAGTAAATTACACAGGACTTCATATAGATATTTAAGTGGTGGAGCAATCCTAGAATCATCAGAAATAAGATAGACTCTGCACAAGTCAAGGCTCTGGAGCACCAGGAAGAGACAAACTGGGTGATTACTCCCAAAAGCAGGGAAAGGGAGAGCCAAGGAACCACGGAAAAGTTAGCCCTGACTTCAGACCATTGAAAAATAAACAACACATCTATTTCTAAGCACTTAAAAGATTAAGCAGTAATAAGTAAGAGCCAAAAATTATGTACTTCTCTTCATTAAAATAGTCAGTATGTTTTGCATACATATTAACCTTATTGAAAGAAAAAAGAAACAACAAACAAAACAGGAAAATAACTTTTCTACCTGACATTACGGTGATGAGGGTGCAGAAGAGACTGGAAAACAACAAGTTTAAAGGCTCTATCTACTGAAATCTGTCTTGAGCCTGTTAGTGTGCAGTCATTTCATTAATTCCCTGGGTGGTCCAACAGGCAGCGAGTTTATTAAATTCTTACATGATACCAAGCTGGGAGGAGTGCAAGCATTTTGGAGGAGAAGGTTAGAATTCAAAATAAGCAAGACAAATGGGAGAAAGAGGTTGTAATAAAAAGAAAGCAATCCAATCAAGGCAAATAAAACATCTAAGTAGGAAGAATCAGCCTCACAAATACCGTATGAGGAACGACCTGTGCCTAGATAGCAGTCCTACAGAGAAGAAGCTGGATGTTGTAGTGTATCACATGATTCAAAAGCATCTTAATGTTTCAATAAAGCAAATATCACAATGGAAAGTATAAACACAAGAGCTGTACGTGCAGCACCTGGGTTTGCAGTGGCTCTGGCAAGATTGGGCAAGGTTCAGCACAGATCAAAAAAAGATTATCAGAGGTCAAGAAAATGTGGATTTCAAGGAACAAGGGCTACAATGGATTATTTAGAGAATAAAAGGCTAAGAAGAGACGTGACATAACTATGTAAAAGTCTACTGCAAAGAAAAAAGCTATTAAATTACTATGTCTGATATAAGAAGGGAATGAAGTAATGGGGTTAATTTGCAACAAGGGTATTTGTGTTGGAATTTTCCCCCTGTTATTTCTCCGTAAGGGTGCTGGAGTAAGCAGGGAAATAGATTACATGAGGAGGTTGTGGCATCTCCATGTCTGGAGTTTCAAAAGGATGGGCTAGGCCAGCTTTCTGTCAGGAATGGTTTAATTCTAGTTTATTTTTAGGAATAATTCAGAGGCCAGCCTAGAGGACCTCTGAGGGTCTCTCCCAGCTTCACATTTTCTGACAGTGTGCCTGTTACCTGAGGCGTTGAGTATTTCTGGTGAGATGCAAAATTTACTGTGCAGATTTCCAAAGAAAACACCCAGTCACGTGAATTCCTACCGGAATTGCAAGAACCATGTGAGAGTAAATTATGCACAGTCCTGGATTGCTCATCCAGAGACTTTGAAGCCTGTACGATGTGAAAAAAGGCAGCCAGAACAAATTTATGGGGCCAAGTCATAACCCCATCACAGTCAGGAGCAAAACTCACATTGATTTCAGAGGGAACTAGACTTGGATAGTCTTTTTCTTTTTCTTTTTTTTTTCTGAAGGTCTGGCATTAAATAATGCAAAATACACCACATTGCTATTAAACTGACATACGTACACGTAAATATTCCACATCAATATCTTGTTGTCAGATTGTCATTGGGTACAATTCAATTCAATGTGGCCAGTTTAACAAAACAAAAGGCTACTGGTCAAGTAAATCTATCTGCAAGAAATGTCTATGAAGAAGTCCGAAATCTGAATTCCCTCTCCCCTCTATTTCTTTACAAATTTGTATAAATGAGGAAATAGCGCCAAAGACCTATTAGTAATAGTTATTTCCTAATTGCAGTGGGAAGCATCCTGCATGTTTAAATAAATATTGTTAACTCTGACCTCTTGGTTTGCCAGGACTGATAAGGCAATTGTTTGACCTATATGAAGCACATACAGTATGCATGGACTGAAAGCAGCAGGAAAACAGGAAACAATAAATCAGAAATTAGAGCACTGATTGTTGCAGCTAATTACATCAGACTTCTGCTTAATTTCTCACTCTGTCATTCTAACCTGATTTTCTTGCCAACAGACTTTGCAAATTGCTGGTGTCACGTATGTACAGCAAATAATAATCTTTAGTTACTATGATTGACAAATGAATGGGAAGGGGAACGTAGTTTATTATGGAAGAATGAACCATGACACACACCAGATACCTGCTCAGATGCTCTTTTAATTCACTTACCTAGATATGCTGCATGATACATTTTGCCAGGACCGCAGGTTTTGGCATCACAACAGCCTAATTGAGTTTGTGGCATGGTTTGATAATGCTGGACAAAGAAGGAAAAATGAGGCTACAGAAGGAGAAAAATGGCAGAGATTGATTTCCACAGCAAGAGAGATGAAGTGTTACCTAGAAAAGTTAAATAAATTCTGAAAATAATATGCTTAGAATTAGGCATATCAATCAGCATGTTGTTTAATCTTGATGTTATTGTCCTCTTACCACACATCAGATAATTTGGCGTCCTCATTATTGTCTCTTTTTATGTTATTCCACTTTCAAACTATCTTTCTTGGTCCTGTTTCATCGCTGCCACCAGCATCCTCAGCTGGCACAAATTAGCACAGCTTCCTTGAAGTCAGCTGAGCTGTATCAGACATTTTACAGTAGCTGGGAGTTTTTGGTAGAAAAAAAAAATTAATTTTTCAGTGCCTACATGACAAATTGTCCCTTCTGATCCAAGTAAAAGTCATCAGCACTCTCCTTAACACACTGTCTTTCTGTAAGGTGGATGCTTTTCTTCAGACCAGCGGGTTGGTGACGTGGTTTTGAGAGGCCAGGCACTCTGTGGCACGCGCAGGCGGTCGATGATGGAGAGAGATGCAGCTTTCTCTTTCCTTGGTGTCCGTTCGACTCACATCAGCAAGAAGTGAAGGCTGGGAGAGTCAAACAGACACACTGGAGAAGTACCAGAAGGGTTAATATCATATCATCACTGCCTTTAGCAGGCTGTACCTTGTGTTTTATGCATTCTGCAACTGCCCATATGATTTAGCAAAACAACACCTTGGAAAAAAAAAAAAACAACCTCCAGCCCAATGTAGTATTATATTCATGTGATATATCCATATATCATATCCCTCTAGTGTTATTTCTCCACAGCTGTTGTCATGTCTGCTTCGTTCTTTTCCTTTGGGATTTTTATTTGTAGAATCACATAATTCTCCTCCCTCCCGAATTTCCTATACTACAGCAGGGGTGATGATGTAGCACTCTCTTTAGGAGTCAATTTCTGGGCAATTACACATTCATTAATCATTACGTACCACTTTATGTGTTTCTATCTGCAGTTACAGATTTCAATGTTCAAGCTGGGTTTTGAGTTATATTAAATAGTAGTAATTTGCAATCCTCAAATCTTTATTCTTCCAAAGGAGAATCTATTTATTTGGATTTTTCTGCCTACCCCCCAACTCAGCAGTTTCTTTAGCTCACTGTTTTATTGGAGCTGCTTCGTTTCCTCTGTCCCTCTGCCTCATTCCTACTTTTTGTATGGGTAGGTTGACACTCACTGAAAACTGGAAAGAAAAAATCAAATGTTACCTCTGAGATACTGACAGAGAGTTATGTATGCAAATGTCAGATTAAGTATGATATTTAATAGGTGTTAAACCTTATTGGCAGGACTTTTGCTTTACATGTACCAATAAGCCAACGGTCTTCCTACAGCCCCAAAGCTCCTGCCTTATCACCACAGATAAAGCCGTGGCACCACAGCCCAGCCCAGTTTGCTGTTGGCCACACGGGCCACATCACAGCTCTTTGGGATGCTGGGCAGCCCGCTGGGAATGTCATGGTACCCATGGCTCTTCCAGCAGTGCCAGCACCAACCCAGGGACCTGCTCCAGCCAGGAGCCCAACCACCCCAGGAGGTACCAACAGTGTCGAAGCATCCCTGTAAAAATTCCAGTTACTTTCTGATTTCCCTCCCGTTATCTGGTTGAATTCCTGCCTAGTTTGGGAGGCAGCCTGTTCATCCATCTCCATATAGAAGACAAGCCCAGCCTTGTTTGTGGCATTGTTATCAAAGACTAATGCATGGATAAAGCAAACAAACAAACCCTAATCCGGAGCTATTTTAACTGCAGCATCAGTGCTTGGCAACCTGCTGATTGCCTCTCCCCGTGACGGACAGATAATGGGACTATTGAGGGATTTGAAGTGGGTTCTTAAAACTCCATGATACAGCCAAGCTTTTATTTTGCTAGTGGGTAGGTCCTCTCTACGGGTTCTGCTGGGTCCTTGGTGAAGAACCTTTAAGTACAGCACAATCCTCTTTGGTATTTTGACATCAAAGGAAGATACAGTGTGACCAAACTTTGAGAAAACAGAGAACCTTACTATAATGAAGTGTCATTGAATACTTTAAGATATAAATAGGGGAAAACTAACTACACAGAAGTACAGACACCACACACCTATCGTTACCTTTCTCTAGAATAAAACAAACCTGCAAAATACAGCAGGAAGACACTGCATTATTTTTCCTCATTGCCATAAGAACAGTTTTCTTTTGAAAACAGATTTGGGAAGACCCGAGTTGCTTTTCAAAACTCAAAAAACAAATGGAAACTGAGGAACTCATCCTTTGCTGTATTTTTCTGTTTGCTGTACGCCGATTCCCACCTGTTTGCCTCTTACGATGGAGTTTGACCTTTAACATTAACATTAACACAAAAGCCTGAAGTCTGCCCCTCCACATCGGGCTCTGAACGGGAGTCCTATAACTAGACCACCCCTTCACAGGTAAGAGGAGCCATTAAACCCTGTGAATTTTCACAGTGGATAAGCCCTGCATTAATTTGACCCAGGTGCCCGTCTCAGGCCGTGCATGGGAATGTTCCCCGTGTCCCCTCGGCTCTTTCTCCCGTGGTGGTCCGGCCCCAGCGCTCCCCGGACCCTAATGGAAACCATGCCAGAGCACCAGCTGCCGCGGGACTCTGCAGACAGATTTTTTTGTTACGCCATTTGTGTCACTTTGATGTGTTCTCTCGCTTCGCATACGGCTACACGAAGAAGCAGGAGGAAAACACGAAGAGCCATGTGCCGGAATTAAGTTACAAATGTCGGCCTCTTAGTCAATTTTTTCCAACACAAGCCCCCTTGATTCGATACCACCCAAGCAAAGGGAAATGTCGTTATGAGCAGTGCACACATTTCAGGGCAAATCTGCCCTCGTTTGCACCTAGGCAACCCTGGTCGCTTTTGGGTAGATGTAAAAGAGGTCTAAATCTGTCCCATTAGTCTTTATTTGCATGTTAGACATTTAGGTTAATTTATCCTCTACTTTAAAGACAAGTAGATGGCCATTAGCAGCGAAGAAATTAAGTCAATATGTGCATGGACGTGGGAAACCTGAGTTATTCTACCAAAAGCTGCCCATAATATACAATATTTTATAAAAATCTCCATTATTTCAGCACCTCTTACTAGGCTAGAATACCAAGACAAGCAATCTTGTTCTTAATTAATGGCTCAAAATGTGAGTTGCCCCACATCCCCCCAACCTGTACAACCCAAGAACATGCCTAAAATTAATCATGGCTAAAATGCAATAGGCAACTAAAAGGCACTCTCACATCCCCGTTGGAGGCACAGCAATACATTGGCAAGATCAAGAGATGTAACAGTGTGGGCAGCAAAATTTTTCAAAAAGGCAAGATGGATCTTCAAGGACTGATTATCAGCTGGCAGCAGCAGAGATTGGCAAGTAATAGAATTAGGCTGGTTTGAAACATCTATAACTGAATTGGGCCCTGTATAATCGGAAAGTTGGCATGGCACAGACCAGTTTTGCCTGTAGGAATAAGCCAGTGAAAATCCAGGGATCCATCTGGAGACTCACGTTGTGAGTGAGATGAGAGTCAGACCATGCCAGAAAACTGTAATTAGACATAAACTGAAAGAAAAAAAACACAACAATATTTTGAAGCATCTAAAGTTGAGCTTACCACATCTGTCAGGTGCGCAAGTAAAAGGCTGCTTATGTCCGTTGGCAAAATAATGCAAAATTCTGGAGTTGTCTTAGGACTGCCCGTAGGTCCTGTGAAGGTGTAACACGAACCATCAAGACTCACATTTTGAGTTAAGTTTGTCACTGTACTAACATGAAAAGAAACGGTACAGCTCAGAATTATTCAAAAACGTGAACACAACTACCTCAGTTATCACAAATTCAGGCTGAGACTGTCAGAATTGTAAAATTTAACCACCAATTTTAAACACAAAGCTAGTAATCAAGCAGTGGGTTACATTTCACTTAGACCAACTAATGATGAAAGCTGCAATTGCCTTCAGACTATTACGTCTTTATTCATCACATTAAAATGTATAAAACTATTTACAAACAACGGGAAGAGCCAAGGAGTCCAAATGGATTCAGGTACTTCACAGCTCAGCCTCTGACTTCACAGATTTCTTCAGTCCTATCTTTAAGCTGTTCTCAGGAGCCACTTTTTCAGGAAATATTTCAGGAAATTAATGGGTTTTTTACATATTCTGGAGTTTCTTATAATTCAACCTATTGCAAAGGAAAAACCAATCTTTCCTACCTGGTCTGAAATGCTAGTTCCTGGAAAGATTTGTATTCCAAATTTATACCATCCCTTAAGTGAGATGCCTCATCCTGCCTTCAAGATAAGATTCCAGGCATTGCTCAGATACTTGGGTATAATTTATTGTAGCCACACAAAAGTCAGATCTAAATCCTTTTGGACCATGATGCCACAAACCAGCAGTTCAAAGTTCAAAGAGGGAGGCCGACAGATGCAATTAAGTTATCACTGTTGGGATAACTGTAACCCTTGCTGTGCTTTTAGCGCTTCTGGGATCCTGAAGATTGTGAAATGGTAAAAAAAAAGAAGGAAAAAAAAAAAAAAGAGAGCATTCTCCTCAACACTACCTGTGTTTTCATTGCATAAATCACAGCAGTTGGAGTAAAATACATCCAGTGAATGATTTCCTGCCACTAAGGAAAAAAAAATCCAAAATCTTGTTTCCTGATGACTACAAACTTCTCTTGACAAACCTTCAGTGCCAAATGTGGTTTCCATTTACTGTTTTGGGATTTATTTGTCTATGCCAAAGTTCAGGTGTGCCAGCTCTTTGTAATAAGCCATTTGGATGAAAGCTTGGCTAGCTCAAAGGATTCTGATGTATTTTATTGCTGCCTTTTAAGATTATTGTTCAGAAATACCAACTCTAATTTTGAAATCAATTAGCCATGCAGTCTGATGAGGTGTTGGCCCAGCTCAGGTTCACACCCGCTGTCCGCAGATTATTGTTAAGTTGAGTCAGGTCCTTAGTGCCGCTCCGCGTTGCCGGCATCTGGCGTACACATGTTTGATGTCCTCGCAAAATGACGCTGATGGCTTAAATGGCAAGACTCTAATGAAGAAAGCCTAGCAAGTTTGCTGCCGTTTGCCAGCAAAACATGACTTTTACAGGGCTGTGTAAAAGTCTTTTTTTCCCCCTCGTTTAACTCTTCCATGTCAAGAGAATATAAATCTTCCCCCCCCCGGAGAGTGGAGATTCAGCAACGGTGATGAGAAGGGGACTTGAAGGTCCACTATGGGATTGTAGATGGAAAATCCCCCTGGCTCCTGCACCTTCCCGGCACCTGTGAGGCCGCAGAGCCATGTGTTGGGAAGCGCTGGCTCCAGAGGGATGGAAACCTGCCTGCACCACCTACCACCTCCCCAGAGGACAACCGCGCTGAGAGCCAAGGAGACAGGTCAGGGAGAGGGACGTAAATGAAACCATTATCTCAAACGGTCTACACAATGTCTCGTGGGAATCCAAACAGAGGATGAACGTATAAGGTTATTTTCCATGACAATTTTGTAGCCAAGGAAGGTTTTCTGCAGTTTTTCCTGTTTTGTGCACGAGATCTAAGAATGTGGCCTCAGAGACATAAATACAAACTGCAAAAATACCAAACAACCCAGCTCGGATTTGGTCCTTTCACGTGTACAAGGGAATTAAGTACTTATTCCCTTAGATTAAGGCTCCTCTGAAAATCAATTTTTCCTTCTTTTAATACAAAATTATAGCACCAGATTCAGCTGACTGTCAACGATACCAGCCATACCAGAGGAAGAGTAATAGCAGGGATGTGCGATGAGTTATCCGTATCCATTATCATGCCAGTCTATCTCAAATGATAGATGCTAAACCACTGGCCTAATCATCTCAAAAGAATTTACAAGTATTGCATTGTGGCTCCAGAGTTGGAATCATTTATCAAAATCAGCCTTCCATTCAACCCATCTGCAACATTTTGGAGAACGTTAAATACACGCAGCCTGAATTTGAGCCAACTTTCTTTTTTTTTTTTTTTTTCAAAGTCAAAAGCATTTTATTTTTTGCTTACATTAACTGTCATGGTCACAGGGTCATTTAGAACCATTGTCTTCTGCTAAATAGAATAAAAGAGGTAAATAAAAACAATTAAATAACTCAGAACAATCAGGTATGAAAATGTAGTTCTTATCTGGTCAAGGAAAAGAATGTAGCAACTGAATTCTCTCTATATGGATACATATATATAAATATATACATAATAAAAGTAGCTGAGGCCTCTGACTGACCTGCAGACCCACAATTAACTCAGCCTTTACATTAGAGGTCAAGACCATAATTATAGAGTGGGTGGGTGCATTTTTCCTCTTCTGAGGGCTTTTTTCAGCCTCATACAGTTTTGTACTGATGTAGCTTGTACTTCAGGATCAAGTCTGAGCAATGCCAATTTACAGCTCTAAAAACAACCACATTTTCAGTATTCTCACAAGTTGTACTTTCATCCAATGATCTACTGTAACTGTATAAATACCACTCTCCTGTCATGGAAGGAAATATTATATGAGGCTATGCATTTTTACGTTAGTTCTCTACTGGTGCTCCTTTTACTAGTATAAATGTGTGAATTATTATGCTGGTGGCTTCAGATAACACAGTGGGAAATGGTTAAACAGAGCATTACGTGTATCTCTTTCCTTTGCTGGCTTTTGATTTGGTAAGATACTCCTTCATTCTTGTAAAAAGAGAGCTCAGACTGTGTTCAAACAAAACTTTCAGGGTTTGAAAAGAGTAAGACTCAATCATCTAGTCCAAACCTGGTGCTCAAAGGTCATGAATATTGATATTTAACACACAGGAATTAGGTCCTTTTCTTCTGCAGTGTCCTCCCAAGAAAAATGCTAAAAAGAAGGGGCTTGACAAGGAGGAAATGGGGGAAAAAAAGGAAGCCCCAGCAGACTAAGAGGAAGACCTAGTCTGGAGGGCTGGATGGAGTAAAAATCAGGTATAACTGATGAGAATTTGTCTTTTCTTTAAATCCCTGACAATTAAGCATGTCAAGAGAGTCATGGACCCTGACAGAGTAACAGCCATTCAAAGTCATCACAAAGGTCTGTATAGCCCTGTATCCCCCCACAATAGTGTTCATGTAGGGGTATAAAAAACAAACACAGAACAATCTGAGACAACCTCTCAACTTCAAGCAGTCACAGAACATTTTCCTACAAGTTTAAGAGTCGCTGATGGATCTATCTTCCCAGAATGGGTTAAGTATTGTTTGAATCCAGATACTCGTCTATTTTTGCCTTCTGTAGCATTATGGGGCCACCACATCCCTACCATGGTACTCTGTGATCTTCACTTAGTTATGTTAAAAATGATGTTTGGTTATGTTAAAAAGACCTTCTGTAGTCACTGCTTTCATGGGTTGAGTTCCTGTGTGAAGAAAAAGTAAATAGACATCTTATATTTACCTCTTCCATGTAATTCCTGATTTTGCAATACCTCCTCTGTACAGATGGTTGTCCTTTTGGTCACTGTCCATACAGTAGTTATACCACACCTCAAATCGTCCCTTCTCAGCCTTTCTTCTTCTTCTGGTTCTGTTTTACAGTTGTGGTGATGGGATGAACAGGCTCTGTGCACCAGATCCTGGATTTTTTTTTTATCCTGGATCTCGATGTTCTGGAAGCCAGAGCCTGCAGATCAAAAGTTGGGGATATCTTGCCTCCAGACCTGGCATCGCTCTGGATACTGTAAACAAATCACTCTTTCTTTAGCATCCTGGAAGGTATATTCAAGGAAATGATATTATCTAAAATCCCACAAAATTATAGGTGGCTGAAGGGAAAAAATGAAGTTCTGCTAAAATTCCATTTCATTTAAATGATTAATAAATATCATTTTCTTTGGGGCCAGACAGAAAGGTGTGTAAAGGGGAGCAGTTTGGCTGCTCCTGTGTCAACACTGGAATAATTTAGCAAGTTTGACCAGTTTCTATTAGGTCTATCAAACACTGGCCTTTGCAATAAAGTTTAAGAGGCTTTAATATTTTATTAGGAATATATCCCATTCAATAGTGTTTGGTCAGTTTAGGTTTCATTTAAATCGACTTACTTTTCTGGTAGCCAAGCCTGGGTTCAAATGATACGTAGCACCAACATAACTAGCAGGATTATTAATTATTTGATGATAATATTAATGCCAGTAGTGCAGGACAAATCGCTCTGGTCGAAACTGTTTGACATAACAGATATTATCCAATTACACAAGGCTGGAGAGTAAACATTGGTAAAATTACAGAAAAACCCATTATGATATTTCCTCAGAAGCATTTTTATACAGTTTGACATCTGAAAACCATACTTGGTCTCAGGCACATACCAGGGAGATCACCACCTGACTGCCTCTGTCAGGACTTATTGTTTGGCTCATTAATATTTGAAGCTTGGACTCTCTGAGCTTTAAAAGATGTAATGTACTGTGCATATACCAGTGTACAGTAGTTTGGGGTAAATATTTCAGAGTATTTAAATGCCCTTCAGTGGGGAGAAAATGAAATTCATGTCATAGGTAATGAAAATAATTTCTTTATAGTGACAGGAATATAGGAAAGGCAGATTCTAGGAGCCTTGCCTGTCTATTTGCTGCTGATATTTGGATGGGGATATGCCAGGGAGATGGAAACCAATCTCTCAAAGGATTCATCCCATGCTTAGGGCTGAATTCAGTTTCTGGATGGCCGGTGAGGTAAAACATCACAGAACAAGTAAGGAGCCTGGAATTGCTCTTTCGCCAGACCCCTGTTAATTCTGCTAGTCTGTAAAACAGGGTCTGATGTTTGGGCCAGATCTCAGGGTAATCCTACTCTTGGCTACATAAATCTTGCTGGGTTTTTTTTTTATTATTATTTTCCCTGAGAATTTTGCTTCTATGGGCTGTTGGTTGCCTTATTTCTGCCCAGCTTTTTTGTCTCCATTCTTATTCTTTCCTTCCTGGAATCTGGAATATCTCAAGCCCTGTGTAGCCAGGTTTGATTTCTCAGCTTGTCGCTTCCCAACCAAAGATGTTTTTTATAAGGAACGTGACATTTTCAACTAGAATATTATTTTATTGATTTGGGGTTTGGTTTTTTTTTTGCCTTTTGGTTTTTTGAAAGACTGAATGAACTGAACCACCCAGACACCACCCAGATGCATCCTGAAGTCTTCCTGAAATGCTCGTATTGGCCTCTTTCATAGTGGCTATTATCATTGATGTTACTGGGCTCCTAACCAGTAATGCAGCAGAGGGTAGTAAAAAGTTCAATCTGCAAACCACTACCTCTTTCTTGAATTTTAGAGCTGCTTTGTAAATAATTAATTGGCTTCTAGGAAAACTCAACCTGACTTCAGCTAGTCTGTCTGTGCAGCTCTTCAAGACCTGTGTGGCCCAAGAGATGGGCTATTTCTGCCTGAGTAGAATAATAAGATAAATACCAGGCAGTGGGCATTAAAAGGAGAAAAACGTGTGAAAATTTAAAATGAAAATTTCTCTACGGCACACCCTACGTAAGCTTGACCTTACCCACTTTGTAATTATTTCCAAGCCCTCAATGACGTCAACCTGTGCAAGGTTGAGCCTCATAAAAATAGAAAAAGTGAAGGTTATGTGGCAATACATTGACAAGCTTTAATGCCACCTCTTTCATAGCACACGGCCAATGTAGGTGCAGAACTGCCTGCTACTGGTGTGTGCTTACAAAAATGAGAGGGGGAAAAAAAAAGGCAAAACTCTACAGGTATAGAACATAGGTCACGACACACACATTGAAAAGTCACGACCTTCAATATTAAGGCAACAATTCTGTCCTTCACTCTCTGTCTGTTATGCACTACAGCAGTGAGAGTAAGGACTGCTGTGTCACCATAAATTGAGAAGTCAGAGAGTTTTGTTGCTTTGCCCCAACCTTAATGTTACGCAAATGCTGTTTTGTCGCGCCTTTAATACAATAAAGGGCTAATTCCCCAGAAATCAAGGGTATAAGTCACGTAAATGAAAACTTGTAAATTATGTCAGTAATCCATAACTCATACAACTGATTTGGAAACCAGAGCCTTATGGTTCAGAAAGAAGTAATTGCTTTATTAACTCCCATTTATCAGTATAAAACCGGCTAACTTAACTGACTGACTGATTTATATATTGATACTTTAAATTTAGCTCAACATCCTAATTTAATAAGGGGATCACATATGGATGTTTAAAAATATATTACTTTCTAGTTGGTTGATACTCTAAGCATGCCCTTATTAAGACAGATTATCTCCTTTCCCTTGTTCTTTTAAGAGAAGGACAAAACAAATTATATATCTCATTCATTCTACCTGACAGAAAGGCCATGTTTCCATATAACCCCCTCTCTCGTAATATATTGAACGCACGGCTAACCACATCATTCATTCTCTTTTTAACATCCATGATGTCATAATCTTTTGCAGCAGTGAGGGTGTATTCCTGCCGGCAGACTTTGGGAAATCGCCACGGGGAGTCAGACTACCGGAGCAGAGTGGAGCAATAAATCTACCAGGTATAGCTGGAACAAGGGGCAGAAAGAAAACCAAGATGGATTTATACACCTCTTACTCTGATTCTCCAATAAGTAAGGTCCTGTGTACCTTTATCTGATCCTGAATTCTATGTTAAGAACTGGAGGGCTCTCTGTAACTTCCTTTAAATAGCAAAAATCAGGGCAGGGGAGTTTTACTCACTTTAATTAAAATTAGTGATATTGCCAACCATGCTAATATCCTTCTCAAGGGAGGGAGACAGGTTAGGGTGATAATGCGAAGAGTTTTTAGATATTGGTATTAAATAACCTGTAGCTGTAACAATCATAAATTACAGACAATGTCAATAAGATTATAAAGGATCTATGATGTACAAGTCCATGGTTTACTTTTAGGCTGGGTATAATAGCCTAAAAGTAAAAGTGTGGGCATTTAGTGCATTTAACTTTCAAAAATTAATGTTCCTGTGAAATGGGACATCATTAAGATGAGGCCGTGTGTGGATTAAAACACAGTTCTGCCCCAGTTTGCATTCTGATAATTTCTTCAGGTTTGTATCCATAGCAACTCAGAGAATTGCCCGGCCAAATGGGGATTTCACTATTAATACCACAGCTGAAGGTTTCAGGACTATGTGGGATTCTGAGCACAGAATCAGCCAAACTCCAAATAATAGCAAAGTAGGTCTAATATCAGGTAACAATTTGTGCTAAATTATGGTTTGAAATATCCCATCTATATTTCATGCTATCATCCAACAAGCAATTTTTTTTTCCAGAACACCTCTTAAAAATTGTGGTTCTTGGTTAGGAAATCAAAACATTTTTATTTCAGCCCTTCATTCTAGTGAATTGAGCTCAAGATGCTTCCTGACTTCAAACCTTAATAGCAGATGATGAGAGCAATGGGAAAATTCACTTTCTGAAGTCCAGCCAAGGTCTAAAAGAAATCTTTAAATTGATTTTGGAGCCTTCTTTTTTTTTTTTTTTTTCTTTTTTTTTTTTTTAATGTAAGCCAGCGTATGTGTTTTTGGACCTTAGAAATTACCAGAGTGCTGTTTTGCAGTACAGAAAACCTACCCCAATGCCAACGAACCATAGGTCCCTCTCAGTGGTGATTCCAGTTTCACACGTCTGGGCTTCATGTGCTTTTCCTCTGCTGAAGCTGGAGTTAGAGAGTACAACGAAATACAAGAATTAAACCTTCTGTCTTTGTCAGTTCATGACTACAGGCTCATCTGATCAGGGTGAGGGAAAAGAAATTACAGCCTAGAATAATAAAGTAAAACACAATCACCGGGATTTAAAATCCATGTGTGTTCCATAGTATCCCTTCATCTTTGCAGCCTCATAACAATAAAATCCTATAATGTAGCTGAGTTCATTATCTATTATATTACCTTACTCTTCCTCTTTCACTCTCTCCATTTTATACAGCGTTTATTCTTCTTAGCCATATGGCACACACATAGTTCCCTTAACATATGCCGTACATCCTCGTTTGGTGAACGTGAAAAATAAATGTCTGATTAGAACCAGAAAGCCACTAATGAAACAAAGTGGTCATTATTCCTTATAAAATAATCACTGGAATGGACTTCCTAATACTCTTCTCAAAGGGTATTTCCTCAGCAGCAGCGGGCTGATTGCTGAGATGGATGGGCAGTGGAGAAAGCTGAAAGATGTTCAAAAGGCTTAATGGTCGAGAAGGATGCAGAAATTGGGGCTTTTGTTCTGAAGACCGGCAGCAAATGTTTGAGGGAAGTCTACAGTTCGCCAGAAATCCATTTTCTTTCTCTTTGTCACAACTCCTGTTGTCTTCATATGCAAATGTTCAGTGGAAGTAGAGTGTAGATCACCCAGGGGTAAATCTGCACCAACAGCACTAACCGCAGGTGGTACCCAAGGCTGGCAAGAAAAATGATAATTCTTCCTCATCACGTCTCACCAGCCCAATGTCTCACTCCCACTCCCGTGTTATGCACCTCCAAACTGGTCCTGTCTGGTGTTTATTGGGACAGAACTTCTGATGGCAGTGAAGGTTCCCTGAGCGTACCCCAGTGCTGCTCAGCATGTACTCACCCTCCAGAGTGGTGCACATTTTATCTCCCTTCTCTAGAAAAATTGTTTAAGGTCAAATCAAGACAGTTTCCATCCAAATTGACATCCTGTATTATAATTTACAGTAAATAAAAGTTTGAAATGGAGATATTTTGAAATAAAAACCCTAAAAGATTGTGATGAAGTTGAAATTGGACTGCCACATTTTTATTTCATAATTTTTGTCAGAAACAACACATTTTCCCAGATTAAAAAAAATAATTTTAAGAAAATAACCATCTCTGTAGGTTTTTTCTTTTTTAAATAATCAACTCAGTAACAGGTTAACGTATTATGTTTTAATGCCAGTATTGCTTTAAAATGCAGGGGTTTTTTTCTCCATTTCTATTAAAAAAAAAAGTCTAAAAATTGACCCATGAAGACTTTCCACTCCTTCATTCTGTTTAATTAAAAGGACACGGTGTTGCTACAGTTAGCAGCAAATCTGTCCAGGGGACTTCAGAACAATTTTGGCTGTATGGGCTCAATGGGACTTTCAGTTTGCTGTAACTTTGTCCAACTTGAAAAGAAACTTTTGAAAATTAATGGTAGCCATTGGCCCAATGAAAACATTACTATGTAAAGCAAAATACGGACAGCTATTTTCATTTGCTTTCAAATGTTCTTGTAGATTACAATGTCATTCTAGATGTATTTTAAATGGGGAGATCTTTTCTGAATTCAGCAAGAGTGGAGAGAAAATGTAAGGAAATTTGCTGAAAAAAGTCTCCTCAGAGAAGATACCTGGATGTTGAAGTTTTCCTCAGGTGGGTGCTGCTTCAGACAGTAGTGCATACTTCAGGAAGTGTGAAACCGAGCCATTTTTGTAAAATCTTCATGGTCCCAGGTGCTTTCATTCCTTCTACAAGAAAATTATGTCCTACACCTTCAAGCACGCCTGCTTTAGTTCCCAGGGCAGAAGCCGGACCACAGTTTCTCTTTTCATCCACATCCTGATGCATATTCCTTTGAAATTAAATAAAGATGTCATTGGCTTCAGTGAGTGTTGGGCGAGTCTTCAAAGGCATTTTTAAACATAGGAATACTATATATACCAATTGGCTAACTGGTTTAAAAAAATGTACCTATTCAACTTGCAGAGCCCAAGATACACATATGCTGTAAAAGAACAGCCCAGGAGAAAAAGGAAATCGCAGCTCTACAGTATTTTCTAGCGCAACTACAAGGACATACAGAGAAGAAGGACCATTATGCTGAGGGTCTGCTTTAGGACTTGGAAGAGATGATATAAAGGCCTTGCTTTACCGGAGACTTCTGATGTGATCTTATACCACTCCGTCCTTCTGTGCTTCTGCAGAAAAGAAAAGTACTATTATAATTTATAAAATTAAATGAATGATAGAATCATCTAGGTTGGAAGGGACCTTTCAGATCATCGAGTCCAACCATCAACCTAACACAGACAAACCCACCACTGACCCATGTCCCTCAGCACCACGTCTGCCCAGCTTTTAAATACCTCCAGGGATGGAGACTCCACCACTGCCCTGGGCAGCCTCTTCCAAGGCTTGACAACCCTTTCCATAAAGAAATTCTTCCTACTATCCATCCTAAACCTTCCTTGGTGCAACTTGAGGCCATTTCCTCTTGTCCCATCACCTGTTCCTTGGGAGAAGAGACAGACCTTTCCTGGCTACATCCTCCTTTCAGGGAGTTGTAGAGAGTGAGAAGGTCTCCCCTCAGCCTCCTTTTCTCCAGGCTGAACACCCCCAGCTCCCTCAGCTGTTCCTCACAAGACTTGTGCTCCAGACCCCTCACCAGCCCCATTGCCCTCTGTATTAAAAAAAAATACATTAAACCAATTGTGGTGTGTTCTGATGGTGTGCTACAAGAAGCACTTAGGGTGGGATGTAAACATGAGCAAAGAAGACATCTACCTACATCAGCCAACATCTTCTGGTACCAAACCAACCACCATCCCCCAACCTGCATTGCCGATGCCAAAGCTCTGGGAGCCTTGTCTGGTTGCCAGAAAACAATGACTCACAAAAGCCAAGGACACAGCATGTCCAGACACTGCAGACTACCCGAGTTATTTTCTTTCAATGCCAGCATATTCAAAATTGGTTTATTTTTTATTTGGTCAATCTCAACATGATTTGATAGCCTTGAAATTCACCAGCAAAGAACTAACTCTCTAGAGCA